GTGTTGGCGTGAGAGCACTGACACTGTATTAGGCGTCGGGCCCTTGGTGGGTGTTGGCTGGCGTTGAAGGGCCAGGTGTCAGTACCGGTTCTCCTGACTCCCACCCTCACCCCGCGCTCCCAGGGATGTGTCCTCCGAGTCCGACAGCAACATCCGGCAGATCAACCAGGAGGCAGCGCATCGGCGCTTCCGCTCACGCAGACACATCAGCGAGGATCTGGAGCTGGAGCCTAGCGAGGGCGGGGACGGCCCTGAGGTAGGACTTCCCGCTCTGCCGGCACACTCCCTGGAGCTCCTCCTTTCCGTGTTCTCCAGGTTGATCCTGTGTCGTAATTTCTTGTCTCAGTAGATCTGTATAAAAAGGAAGGCTCATGGTCTCGTGGCTGATTGATGACCATCGAGATATTTATTAACTTAGAAAGTGCTTACAAAAGCCATCTTTGATGAGTACACCGAGTTTACATTACTACAAAAGGGAATGACATTATTTTTAGCATGGAAATCTTAAGATGTTTTCACTTTATCCTTTATTTTTTCCCGGAGTCTCACCGTCTCTTGTTAAATGGCAACATGGTTACCATCTTTGAGCAGCTGAAGCAGCCCTGTAACTTGTTTGGGTACAAATACAAGTTTTTACTGAGTAGTTCTGACATAGTGAAAGAGGTTTGTTACCAAGAAAATAGAAATTTGGGTGAATAGAAATGTTCATAAGTTTACCCTTAAATGCTTATGGTACATTACTGGGGAAGAATGTATGTAAATTGAACAGCAAATTAGCAAGGCAGCAAACCGTAACTTCCACGCTGCCTTAACAACTCTGTTTACTTATTAGAAATCCATTCTTTTTAAACATTGCATTAGGAAGATCATTCACAAAATGTTCCAGTGATCAAAATTAGAAAAGCAACATGAATGATGCTGTAATAAATTCACTAAGAGTTACTTCATACCAGGGCTTACTTACAGCTTATAGCATTCTGCTGTTTTCATCGTGAATCCTCAACGGATAGAGTAAAAGAAAATTCACGAAAATCATAAACAAATGCCTGAGAATTTTTTTTTAACCCATGCAGGTAGTATCAAGTGCTAGAAGCAAAGCACTGCTCAGAGAGGCGCTATTTCAAAGGGGCTAAGAGCACAGCCCCTGGGACCAGGGCTTCCTTGGCTCAAGTCCTGACCCCACCACTTCCTAGCTCTGTTACCTTGAGCAAGTTACTCCCTCTGCATCAGTGTCCACATCTGTTGATCAGGGTAGTAGTCTTTATTTCCTTATGGATCCTGAGAATATTGTGTGCCTCCTGAGTGCTCAGGAAATGTGAATTACATTTATCATAAGGGTTATTACTGGGGCGGGGAATGAGAGGGTCCCTCGTCCTAGCAGTTACCACAGCGTCTTGTTCCTTGGTAGCCTTGGGAGACCATTTCGGAAGAAGTGAGCATCAGTGGAGACTCCCTCAGCCTGGTGCTGCCTCCACCACCAGCCTCGCCTGTGTCTCGGACCAGCCCCCAGGAGCTGTCTGAGGAACTGAGCAGACGGCTTCAGATCACTCCGGACTCCAACGGGGAGCAGTTTGGTTCTTTGATTGTAAGTAATAGTGAAAATCTTTCTTGATGCATAAAAAAACTCAAATCTATGACTTGTGTTTTATCAGCTTTAACCTTGTAGAATTTCTTTTCCCAGCCAAAGGTTCATAAAGAGTACCTTTGTCATAAAGGTGGTGTTCGCACTGGAACCAGGGAGACGTTGGGTCTCCAGGTTAATCCTCTTACGTCATACTCTGTGTGCTTTATCATTCTCGTTTCACAGATGAAGACGTGATTTTAAGTGACCCGTCCAAGACAAGGTTAGAACAGGAGATAGATAGACATCTCCCAAGTCCCACAGTACCAATCCTTGAGAAAGGTTGTGAAATTGTGACACTGTCACCAGGGTAGCATTTGAACTTGGGTTCTTAATCATCAGGGAAATTGATTGTAGATGCTTCAGGTGGGGCTAAGCCCCAATGAGAACAACAGAATCAGCCATGAAGACCTGTGTCTGACAACACAAAGCTTTGCAGAAAAAGCCCACAGAAAGTTCCTGCTCATGCATAAAACTGAGAAGCGATGCGGTCTCAGTGTCTCTTGAGAAATTGAACCTACAGGTGTACTGTAGTAAACGATGGTAGTCCCTCTGCTGCAAATGGCATCCTAGAAAAGTAGTCATCATTACAGCCATATCAAATGTAAATGAATAGGAGGACTACATAAAATGTAAAAGCCAGTAAGTACTCACAAAATTGTTACTCCTTCAGTTATGTGTTTTTGTTTTAAAAGACACCATTGGCCCGTATCATGAGTTGCACTGATTACTCAGTTAATGTGCTTTTGTATTAAAATTCTATGAATGTCCTTCAGAAAGAGAAATATCACTGAGATGAAAATGTAGTACTGAGGAGGCAGGGGAAAAAAGAGTTTGCATATATGGGATATTTGAATTGATAAAACTGTTGCTACGGAAACAACATAAGCAAGGAAGCCATATATTTAAAACATTATAAAAGGAAGTAAGTACTGCCAGAAGCGTAGCAGTGGTATACCTTTAGTCTACCAAGTGAAAAGCCATCATTTTAGGCAGCACTGATATTAAGCTATCATCTCTTATCATCTTTATAGGGAGCTTCTGCGTTAATTCTTCTAGGTTCATAAAATATCTTTAAGATCCAAATGCAAGTGTCGGAATTATTTTAAGTTCATGTTGAGTCTGGTTCAGCTGTTAAATAACAGTGCCTAGGAAAGAGGGGAGTAGGGGGCTCTTCTCCAGTTCTGCTCGTCAAGGTCACTCTGTATTCGTGGACAGCAGCATGAACTTTTACTAAAGGGTGAATCCTTCATGCTAACTGTTGCGAAGAGACTTGAAAAGCTTCCCATTTACTGCCGCAGAGTCTGTCTTTGACCTTACCCCATTTTCCTGATTGCAAAATATTGAAAGCGAGGAGACGGTACAGATTTGTCCCATGTACAGACCTGTTGCTAATTAGACCCCTGCCTTGTGTGTGTGTGACCTGCTGCTGATCTGTGGTCTTTTTTTTTTTTTTTTAACCATATAGATTAATACAAACAAGTGAGGAACATATTATACATTACACTCTAGATTTCTTTTTTTAGATTAACCGTACCTATTTTCCTTCATTCCTGTTCTGTACAACTTCTGAACTCCATTCAGAAGCTGAAGCTATAAATACCTAACCCTTCAGAAGTAGACGAAGATTATATTTGAGTTCCCCTGGAAATAGAATCCAACTGATTCTTTGTCATTGGTCACAGTAGTCAATAAATGTTTAATAACTGTATGTCAGTATCTCTTCCTCTATTCGTGTTCCACTAGAATTTGCCCAGAGGTTGCATCTCAAAGCAGAATTCAGGACTTCTACCTTCTCCTTTCCATTATTAGAGCAGCACTCAAATGTCATCTGTGGAGCCCCCTTTCCTGTTTTGGCCTCTTATGTTTACCGTTATTTCTATCCCATCTGCTTAAGACACTTGAAAGTGACAGTGGAAGATACTTGACTCCTTAAAAGATTACACTCATTACCCCGAAAAGATGGTGTTTCATTTAATTACCTTCTAATATTAAAGAGCAGTGACTAAGCTTGAGTGATATATTTTTTAAACCAGTGAAACTCGTTTCTCAGAATATGTGTCCCTGATGCTCCGCGTCCTTTCCTCCCCTTCAGCAGAGAGAGCCTTCCTCGAGGTTGAGGTCCTGCAGTGTCACCGACGCAGTCGCAGAGCAGGCTCATCTGCCACCGGTAACCCATGCTCATTTCCAGCCATGAACTGGCTCTTTGGGCTTTTACTTAAAATCATCTGGGCTACTGAGGAAGAGTTTTTCCTGTGCAAATCCATTTACCGTATACGTAAGACATTAAAATGTCCTAGCAAATTGCCCAAGGAGAGTGAATTTCCAATACAAAGAGTTGTCCTTGTCACCAAAGTCTCTGAAATGCTAAAAACTCCATTGTTTTGCTTTTGCATCCAAATTAATAACAATTCTGATGTGCTTACTTGACCTGAACATTAACAATTCCTGTTTGAAAACTTCATTTGGTCCCTGAAGCTGTGTTTGAGTGATCTGTATCTCAAGAACATAGGAAGAACTCTTCTGGGTGGGCAGCAAGAAGTCCTTTCCATTACTAATGGCCTAAACTCTTAACCCGCAAAGCCTCTGTACCTTCTCTTTAAAGGCAGCTCTACTGACTCAAGAGTTGGCCATAATTTGTTCCCACTTTCCCACAGTTTTCATAACTAGCAGGAAATATAGAAGTGTAAAGGGTATTTAATAATATAGGACATAAATAAAAATGAATATTCTGATTGGAAAGCAGTCCAGAACTGCTTTGGGAGATGTTTAATAAACACGTTAAAACTAAATTTTATGTAAATTTGTATTACGACAAAATCCTTGTTTATTGCACATGAAATTGTTTGCAGTGAAATGATCATTGTTTATTGCATATAAAGTTGAAGAAGGGAAAGAAAGATTGCACTTAACAGTTTTTGCAATCATAGTGTCTTCCCTATTGTGTACATTTTTGCTCAACTTCAAAGGACCTTTTTTGCCTAGGCTTTAAGTCTTTTATGTTTACAGAATGAATAGTACATTAGTCAACTGAGTAATCAACGTAATAGATGCAGTTGTGACATACATGGAAAGGGCTGGTAGGTCAGAAGATGCTTGACAAGAGCATCCTTTCTGGCATCCTTTCAGGCCTCCCCTAAAACAGAACAGTCAGCTGTGATGAACTAGTGGGATACTCTTCAGATGATTCTGTGATTTTCCTTGTTGAATTAATGGTGCTTTCTCTCCTGTTCCAAAATCAGTGTCAGTTTTATTGGCCAAAAGAGCTCACTTCCCTGAAAACTGATGATTCTTCCCTCTTTCCTTGTGCTCTGTGAAGCTGTGAACTCACTGATCACCAGTGGCCTCTTACTTAAATTTCTGAGTTTGACAGATTTAATAATCTGCTAATTATTTAACAGTGGGGGCACGATAGTGGTGCTTTCCTTTTTTTTTTTTCATAAGACATCTCACATTGTTGAGGTTGTCAATTCATCGTTTACCCAGGTCAGGGCTGCAACCTGAGCCTTCTCTGGATGGGAGGGTCATCGTGTTCCTCTTTTTCTTCTGGTCATCAGTGGTTGCTCAACTTTATTTGGACCGGGTGGATTGCACAGATTTTGATTCATTCCACCTGCCTTACTGGCTGCACCAGCACTGATTCCTGATTCAATAAGCAATGGGTGGTCTCCCGAAATGCATTTCACTGATGTAAATTATCATTTAACAGCCCAGTGCCCCAGCTGGGAGAGCACGTTCATCAACTGTCACGGGCGGTGAGGCGCCAACGGTAATGATACCCTCGTTCAGACATGAATGGCAAAACTGGGGGGTTGGGTTTAATATTTTGGGTAATGGTGAATATACGCTTTTTTCTTCTTTTTCTGATAAGAGCAGCTTCTTATGTGCCACAGAGCTGCATGCTTCTTATTTTAAACCTCTCACTTTCACATTGTTTGAAGGCACTGAGTAAAATGAATTGATTTTTAGTCCCGTATAGTTTTATGAGGAGTACTGTCAAGCTTTGTTTAGAGTGCATTTTCATCTGAACATTTAGAGTCTGTTTCTGCCTTTTAGTGTTTGTACTCCTGATAAGCTTTTCCCATGTGTTTAGAAGACTTGGGTAAAATATTTTGGTTGGAGGAGGATCAAGGAAGCCACAGGAATCGCATGCGATTATACACGTGAATTTTCAGTTATACATTTCCCGTGCCACGTTTCAAAATCTACCACGTTAGATTCTTTGTATCACAAGCGTGAACCAGTGACCTTTCTCTGCTACCAGGGGCCCCTACTCACAGGTTCACAGGTATGAACAAGCGTTCATATAATTTAGGAGGAGAGAGGAAAGAGTATAATTAAGAAATTGAAAAGATCTAGAAAAATGGTGTTTTTAAGCCAAGTATCTGTTATTCTTATTACTCATTATTTTAAGTAATTTCTACTCTTCACGTTTGTGGGTAACTTGGATGGCTGTGTACTAAGTTGCCTGTTTTCTCCTTGATCCCTAAGGACAGGCTAGTTGATAGTTTATGCTTGGAGCTGCTATAGCTATTTGAAGAATTTTCCTTACTGTTTTAACTTTGTATGTTTGTTGTAACTGCTTATTACTCGAGAACACCTTTAAATACATATACGATTGCTGATTTCCCGCAGGATGTTGATTTAAAGGAACAATTTGGTTATATTGTTAGAATTTACTGCTCAGCATTGTACACTGGAAAATCGAAGTGGCAGTCCGCAAAAATCAGCCCAGTTTAAAGTATTGAGCTGCAGTGAAGGGCATGTGTTGGGTGGGCCAGGCTCATCCTCCAGTAGAATTCAAGAAAGTTCAAATAAACTCGTATATTTCCTACTGTGCGCTAGTAATTTCCATGGGAGTAGAGCTGCGAGGCGGACAAGATCACTTCATGAAATGATTTTAATAGAGTGCAGGGCTGATGAGCATCTACTACCATTTTTGCATTTTGTTGGCCTTGGAACCTGATGTGAGTGTTGCGAGAGCTGATGATATCAAATGACAGGGTAAACTGAATTATGATCGTCCTGGGATCCATGGTCAGAATCACCTGGCAGGACGAAGTGATCCGTGTGAATGAGTTCCCCGTGGCCCTGCCACTGTGCTTTTCTTCTTGCCTGTGCTCTCTCCCTCCCCCAGCAATGAATTAAAAATAGGAATTTGGTTTTGTTTTCTATTTTCAAAGACTGGGTAGTAATATTTTCCTAAATGTTTTATCTACTCTCATGCTTTCTACGTACCTGGTAATCTTTCGCCTGGAATAAGCAAACTTACCTTATGGCTGCATTAGAAATGATCACGTCTATTTCTTTTGCGCCCTCACCATCCCTCGTGTCGAATAGCCTTTACTTTTGCTTTTCCAATTCCATCTCCTACCATGTGTTTCCCCCTCTTTTACACCTTCTCCCTGTCAGCCGCAACACTGAAGTGTGCTGTGTCATCCTGGAGCTACCCTGGGACTCCCCATCCCACTCCTTCCTCTGTGCTCTCACAAACATACATGTGGATGCATGCGTGCGCACATACGCGCGCGCACACACACACACACACACACACACACACACAAGTGGGATCTCATATACGTATTAGTTATCAACTTGATATTATTCACTTGTGGTCATTTTTTTTGGGACATTAATTATTACATAGTAGTCAGTGATGTGAGTGCACCGCAGTTTATAGAATTTTCCCACATCGATGAACATTCAGCCTCCACCCCCTGGGCACTGCTCGCCATGTGGCTTTATTAACCATCCTGGTGTTGCTCTCTTTCCATGGTAGTGCTTTTATTTCTACAGTATAATGAACAAGCCCTGATTCTCATCTGCGGAGCCACAACCCTTTGACATATGACAAATAAATACGCACTGGTGCCACTTTCCAGCTGGCTAAGCATGAGCCTTCTCTGTGAGAGAAAATGAGAGGCATAGCACAGTTTGGGGGTTTTGCTATATATACTCTAATAATACACTGAGGTAAGAGTGTGGCAGGGTTTGAGTGAATCTTGGAGAATCTGTGATAGCGCCAAACGTTTATCATCTTTAAAAGCATTTTGAAACTTTTACAGCTCCAATGTAATTGAGTTCTTCATTTTAATGAAATAAATGGAGCCACCATGAAGCTGCAGTTAAATGGCTCCTTGGCTTTGTGAAACACGACGGTAGAATTCAGATGAAAAGCTGTGAAGTGTTAAAATTAAGCTGACTGGCCGTTTTCTAACTTGTCTCCTGATTAATTCACATGTTCTTGAGGTGGTAAGGAATGCACGTGTGCAGAAGCACGCGCACTCCACGCACACCGCAGGAGAAGGCTGACGTTGGCTCCAGGGCTGCGCCCCTGCCATGGTCTGTGCCCCTGCCATGGTCTGTTCGTAGAAGCCGAGCCCCACCCCCTCCCCAGCTGTGGGAGGTGGTGTTTTGAGTCACAGATGGAATCATCAGCACAGGCTGTTCTTCATGGACATTTGGAAAGAACCCTATAAAGAACCATTTTAATAACACCATCTTGCGTAAATGGAACTAGATCGTAGGTTGCCAATTCAATTCTCAGTAGAAGGTAGAAGGAACATTTTAATCAAATTCAGTGTTCTCTACAACACTCCTAGTTTTCCATAAACTGATTAGCCCTATTAACTGTGGATCTATGAAAGTAACCTGGTTGCTGGAATACTCTGCTGGAACTCAGTCCTGAGATTATCCATGACACATCCCAGTTATTTTAGTTTATTAGCCTCCTTGTAAATATCCTTTCCAGGGATACTATAGCTGTAAAACTATCCTTAAGGTTTCCAAAATGGAGTTTTCTAAGGGCACATCTAATTGCCTCTCCACAAAAAATAATTCAACAGGGAGGCCGAAAGCAGCATTTAGTATTTAGTATTCCATTCAGCCAAAACATTTTTGGTCCTCATATAAACAAACAGTATGTCAAGGCTTGATAGCATGTACTTGGCCAAAAATACTAGTCAACCACTAACTTAGGTTACGGAGTCCATTGGGTCAGCAGAATCCATTGCTGTAGTGCCCAGATAAAAAGTAGCCTGGAAATAGCTCCTTTGTGTTGCTGTCACAGCGAGAGGAGGAGGGTGGAAAGAGCTTTCAGCTGTGGACAGATTCATCTGTCTTTAATACTCATGGAAGGATCAGGTCTGCATGTTGACGTTTCTTCCACTCTTGTTGTGTCCCCACAGCTAGATCCAGGACTCTGCATACTCAGAGTCTTGGAATTGCCATTATGGGGCCTTGGGGACTTTATCTGGAATAATGTCAAGGAAATAGTTGCTGCAGTTTTAGCAGAAGGTTGTCTTTCAGATAAGTACACTTGCCCTGCTGGGTGAATGTGTTTTAGAAATAACCATTCAGGCAGCTGCTTCCTGGTCTGTTTTTCTCTGGAATGTGCTCTTTGAGCCCATGAAGTAAGATATTAAGCCTCGTTGCCTGCAGTCCCCAAATTACATGGCCGCATCCCTGATCTTGCGTTTCAGTTCAAGGTCTTGCAGTGGACTGGGGGACCCTCTTTGCCAAGGTACGCGTTGTTGGCAGAGATCACGAAAGATGGGATGAGTACAAGGAGAGATTGGGCTAAGAGATTGACATCTTCAGCCTAATCAAGAAAACTGCACCTGGTAGAATGTCTGGAGTTTCAGAAGACCCTAATTAGGGAAGATGGTACCCTAAAAGAAGTGGTTTCCTTTTGTAACCTCACGTGAGAGATTATTCCTGATGTTTGGCCTCTTGTTTCTTTTACGCTCTCCCAAGAGCCTTGGTAGTCGTGGTTGGCTTCTTGTTCCTACCCCCTTCCTTAGAGTAGCAGCCCTTGCCCAGCTACAGATCTCATGCGCAGCACCCTGACGTCCAGGACGTCCTGGACGGCACTGGCCTCAAACAAACATCCCCTTGCCTCCGTGAGTCTTTGAGACACGCTGCTTGCCAGCAGCTCTCCACCCCGCCTGCCTTTCTCAAAGTGCTTCTTACAGGCAGAAGCGTCGGAGGAAGCCTTTTGCAGTCTACTTTGAACTATCCAACCATAGTCACTCTGTACTGCACATGTCTCTAAGCCCAGAAGCTACCTGTGCTCCATTCACCCTTTAAGGAGACAAACTCCATATGGGAGGACGGGGGGAAATACAGCCTCAGTTATCACGCTTCTTTGGAATTCTGGCCTCAGATTGCCAGGTGGCGTCCCGGGCTGGAATAGTTGAGATATTCTGGTCAGTCACTAGTGTGAAAGCAGGCCTCGTAGAGAACAGACTCTGTGTGTGTGTGTCCCCCCGTGCCGAAAGCTACGTAGTGTAAGGGCCCTAAGCTGGTGAAGAATTTAGGAATAAGCTAGGGGAACATCCCTGTGACAGCTAGATTGAGGAAAAAATATTCAGGGCATCCCTCTCAGAGTCGGTAACATGTAATAATTTGAAATACCTTTTAGGCTCTACGTGGTTTGACAGTAAAATGCAGCAACTAAAACGAATTGTCATATTATTCTCTTTCCTTATGATCACGTTGGCAGCAACCCTTTATGTTGAAGGCCGCGTGGCCTGGAACTGAGTTTTGTAAGATTTTTGACCCTGTGGCTTGTGTGGGAGTTCATTTCACAGTAGGTTTAAAGCTATCGGAAACCTATTGCTGTTTTCCAGGCACTCATGTTTTCGGTACCATTAGAATTAACTCACTTTGTCTAGCACAGATAATTCTGGGTACGTATTACTTTATTAAGTTGATCAGAAAACAAATGCAAGATATTAAATAATAATGATTTCTTACACAAACAGCCATCAGTGGCCTATGTACATACCACGCCGGGCCTACCTTCAGGCTGGGAAGAGAGAAAAGATGCTAAGGGACGCACATACTATGTCAATCATAACAATCGAACCACAACTTGGACTCGACCTATCATGCAGGTATGCGGATCGCCACACAGCTTATAGTCACAGGCAGCAGAAGCCAAAACATACGCGAATCCCGTGTTCCTGATGTTTCTGTGTTGTTCTGAAGAACCCATGTTTAAGAAAATTTTTCTCGCAAATGCATTCCTTTTAAACATAGTATTTGCCCTAAGGAAGAATTTGGTCCCTGACTCAGTCTCTCCCTAGATGGTCCATTTTAAAAATGTGACGTGAAAGGTATTCTCAAAGTAAGAGCCTGCTTATTACAATGGTAGCATCCCTCCGAACCCCCTTTTTTTCTGAGGCTGGTTTTTATGCCGGCCGGTGATTCATTTTTTATTTCCTTGGAGTGTTTCCCCATCCTTCCCCCCATTATTATGCGTAGTCATTTCCTCCGTGCTTTAAACAGGCCAGACCTCTCATCACCGCTGGCTGTGTTGTTGGGTCCACACTCCAGTCACGCGTTCAGGGAGAGCCTCACACAAAGCTAACTTGTGTTTGCCTCCAACGTAGCTTGCAGAAGACGGTGCATCCGGATCCGCCACAAACAGTAACAACCATCTAATCGAGCCTCAGATCCGCCGGCCTCGTAGCCTCAGTTCGCCAACAGTAACTTTATCTGCCCCACTGGAGGTGAGAAGGCTACGTCATCTAACTGGGGTCACGTCTATCCTGTGACTTCTCCTCATTCTCTCTTCCCTCTGAACTGGGACTTGGGTTTTGCAGCCACCTTCCTCTCTGATAATCAGTCGCTGTGTTCGTGGTGAGGGGTGTCCTTGTGCAGCCTCACTCCATGCTTCCCATCCCTGGACTCACCTGATTCTCATTCTCATTGGGCTGAGGCCATGGTGGCTTGTACTGGACATGGGCTCCTCTTTTCAGAACTTTCTCCATTCGTGTTGTGTTTCACTCCTTACTGCCTGTTGCCTCATGAGACTCGCATAATAACTCATATTGGTTTAAGTACCAATGCTTACGTTGAGTTTTTAAACATAGCTGTTGCTTTGACCTGTTTTTCCTTTCGACCATAAGGTCTTCCATTGTATCAGCCTCCGTGTTTCTGATGCCTGTTTGCATCTCTGAGTCACTGCTGGGCATCTGCTTTGCGCCCTCCTGTTTGTGTGGTTTTAGGGACATCCCTTAACATCACAAACATCACCAGAGACTAAACCTTTGAAGTTCTAAACGTGACTGCATCTTAGAGATGGCTGCGGGCTTCTGCATGCCCGGGCTGAAGATGTTGATAAGTGGGAATGGGCGATATCTCCTCCAAACTGTGATGTAAATGTCCTGGGTAACAGCTATGCAATTCCAGGTGGCTGTCTCCGTTGATAGAGGTTTTTTCTTTTCTGCTCTAAAAATTGCCAGTCCATCTTCGTTGGACTGTGAGCTCATTAAGAGCAGGGGCATGTTCTTCTCTACCTCCTGTAAAATCTCCATCCATGATGCTCACTACAGAACCGTATTTTGGGTGCGTACCAAGTAGCTATCAAAGGATGGTGGTTATACGTACTTAATATCGCTGTGTGTTTAACCAGTAGAAAAACCTTACAGTTAGATTAATTTTAAAAGTAAACCAAGCAGGTTTTTTAGGAGGTTCCCCGGTGTCCCTCTTTAAAGAGGCGCGTTCCGTGACCCCCAGGTACATGTTGACCCCTCTGGACTAGCACCTGGTAAGACTTCTAATGCTCATTATTATTCCTTAGGGTGCCAAGGATTCACCCATACGTCGGGCTGTGAAAGATACCCTTTCCAATCCACAGTCCCCACAGCCATCACCTTACAACTCCCCCAAACCACAACACAAAGTCACACAGAGCTTCCTGCCGCCCGGCTGGGAAATGAGGATAGCGCCCAACGGCCGGCCCTTCTTCATTGACCATAACACAAAGACTACAACGTGGGTAAGGTCGCTGCTTTTATTTGGCTCCATTTTCATCCTGAGGTCCGGCATTCATTCCTTTATTTCCTTACCCAGTATCCATGGTTCTCGCAGAGAAATTTCCTGGCAGTGAAGCATGTCCCCAGAGGGTCTTCTCAGCTTGGTCTAGACTCCGCACGTGGGGGCTGGCGGGGAGCAGGTGACTTACGGGCACAGGCTAATGGCCACCTTTGGTACTGGTGCCTTTTCTTCAGAGCACTCCGGGAAAGCTCCAGTTGTGACAATTTACCATATATGGGGAAAAAAACGGTAGTGCTGCATATAGCTAGGATTTTGATGTTACTGCTTCCCATCTCAGGATGCTGTAACCTTATTAGGAATTCCGATCTTTTTAGAAATGATGTTTCTTTGTCACTTTCTTTTTGCATCTGTGTTGACATTACCCATCTTTATTTTTATTTGATGTGTCGTTTTAGTTTTTACTGTTTACATCAGATAAGTGTTTTATAGTCTGTGCTACATTACTTTCTTTTAATTGTGGATCAGGAGGTATACTAAGGACTTGGTAAATTTGATAGCTCTTTTTTGTGAACATCTTATCACAGTTGGTTATTTCTTATCGCAGGGCTCCTCCATGTGCCCCTGAATCATGCATGAGAGAGCATCCGTGTATTGTGTTAACCTGAGAAAAATGAGATTAATGAAAAGTACATATGCATAATATCTTTATATTCCTCTGTTCGCTCTTCATTTCTTCAGGGGAGTCAGTGGCGGGGTTTTTTATTTTGGGTTTTTTTTTTTTTTTTTTTTGCTTCTTTTGCGCTACACGGGCCTCTCACCGTTGTGGCCTCTCCCGTTGCGGAGCACAGGCTCCGGACGCGCAGGCTCAGTGGCCATGGCTCACGGGCCCAGCCGCTCCGCGGCATGTGGGATCCTCCCGGACCGGGGCACGAACCCGTGTCCCCTCCATCGGCAGGCGGACTCTCAACCACTGCGCCACCAGGGAAGCCCGAGAGTTCTTTTAAAAGTCAGTGGTATTTTTCTACTGAGCGATCTCTAGACCAATGATTAGCCTGAAATGCGTCCTCGTGTTTCTGTTTCTGATGCTACCCAAGGTTTGTTCTCCTTCCTCTCCCTTATATCCCCATCTGATTGTCTGGGTACCGAGCGTAACTCAAGTCTTTCTGTCCCCTGGGCTACTTGCTCAGAACTGATGGTATGTGAAAGCTGGTTGAGTTATGGTGACTGCCACTGGCCCTAGCCCTGTGGTCTTGGACCAAGAGTGAACACATGCTTTACATTCCCATTTCTAGTGTAGACACCAAGTATACCCAGTTGAAAGAACAGCAGTATCGTGCTGAGGAAGAGACCTGGACCCAAATGGTCTGGACTGTCACTTACACTTTGCCCGTGGTGTGATGGTAATTCAGTCCCTTGAGAATTGGATGAGATGGCCCAGCAGACTCTCTCAGACTTCATGGATCGTGGTACAGTGTGTCTTCACGAGGACAATCTTAGCATTTGGGGAAGGACTGTGCCTGCTATTTGCAAGACATTTAACATCCTTGGCTTCTGCCACTGCATCCTAATAGCCACTGTCGCCGCCCCCCCCCCAACCCCTATCCTAGTGACAACCCAAAAGCTCCCACGCGTTTCCCAACGCCCCGTGATGAGAGCCACTCCAATTTTGAAGTAAAGGAATAACCTGCCAAGAGAATTTATCATCCAGATCTGGTAACATTCATTTGGTAAACGCGTCACTACTGCTGAGGCATATATGATAACATGTAGCTTTGAAGATAAGATTACAGGTTTCTGGCAAGACGAGAGTAAAAGATAGGTCGCTCCTTGGGAAATAGAGTGAGAGAGATTGGTGTGAAAACCTTTTTTCCCTCGTGGACATAGGACCTGTAGCAGTCCTGCCAGTGTACCCATTTCTACTTACTACAGCACTGCTGGGATTTCTGTTCCTCAGCCGGGAATGGGAGCTCCAGAAATAGGGGGTAAATATTGTAAAAGTAGCTGGATTAGTGTATGCAGCCACTGTGGCTTGCCAACATAAGCTATGATTTTAGTAATTTGAACTAGCGTAGTAATCAAATCCCCTAACCTTTTCACAGCCTTTCACACCACAACTGCAGTGTAATTGCAGCTGGGCAGATTTTATTTAAAATAGCACCAGCTTTATTTATTGCCTGCATCTGTGCTGAGTGAAACCCAGTTTGAATTTTCAATTGCCCCTTTCCACCAGATACTTGTGATTCGCTGATTTAAAATTTTAATTGGTTAAAACAACATTTTGTTGCTGCTGCTGTCGTTGAAAATCCTTAAGGTAACAACTGGGAATTCCACAAACCGCCACACTTCTCCTCTAAACTCGGATGTGCTGACACAGCCGTGTTATCCCTGCTAAACAAAGGCCCATACAAAATTCTCGCTGTGGAACGCAGGCTCTAAATTGCTTGTTTATTTTGACAGAAAGTGGAAGGATGGAGAGAACTGTAAAGATAATTTTCAGCTTAAAACCTGTGTTGAGTTTGTTTGGGGCTTGCTTTGTTTTCTAAAGAGAGAACAAATAAGAGAGAACAGCTGTTCTTAGATTTGAGCATTATCATAGGAAAAGGAAACAAAAAAATTGGTCAGACGGTTTGAGAATAATGAAAATTGTATTTCTTCCCCCAGCACCCTGTGTCCTCTTGATTCCTGCACTAACCACAAGCAGGAAAATGTTCAGGCCAGCATTTCCCTCGTATACGTTGATAGAGGAAAATTCCCTTTGAAGTCTATTTATAAAACACGGCCTCTTGCACACACAAATAACGGAGGCCGTGTGCCAGCCGTCTATCAGGAATAAAGTCTGACACAGCAAGTGAGCATCACTTTGTCCCCACCTGGATCAGGCGGGCTGTGGATGCACGGTAGAGACCACCGGGCAACTGGGGAGAGATTACAGGAGGGCTTCGGCTCATGCATTCCTTCTGCTGAAGAAGCCGCTCAAAGCATGTGTGTAAGCGTATATTTATGTCTTTTACAGGACAAAGCCTTGGTTTATTTTTGTGGCAACAAAGATTATACCTCAATTAAGTTTCAGGTTTGTTTTCTACCCAGGTCCAAACTAATAAAACTCACTGTAGTCTAGCCCTGGTGGTTGTTCCCTTCCAGGATCGAAAAAGCACAGTTGTCTTTTCAACTAGCCAGCATGCCCATATTTTATATATTTTTAAATGATTCCACAAAGAAACTTTTTTTTGGGGGGTGGGGGGGCGCTGAGCGGCATGTGGTATCTTAGTTCCCCTACCAGGGATCGAACCCGCGCCCCCGGCACTGGAAGCGCAGAGTCTTAACCACAGGACCACCAGGGAGGTCCCCAAAGCCTTTTTTTTTTTTTTTTTTTTTTTTTTTTTTGGCAGTGCACAGGCCTCTCACTGTTGTGGCCTCTCCCGTTGCGGAGCACAGGCTCTGGACACGCAGGCTCAGCGGCCATGGCTCACGGGCCCAGCCGCTCTGCGGCATGTGGGATCCTCCCGGACCGGGGCACGAACCCGTGTCCCCTGCATCGGCAGGCGGACTCTCAACCACTGCGCCACCAGGGAAGCCCCAAAGCCTTTTTAATTTTTTTAAATTAAATAAGATGTTGATCTTTGCCTTCTGTTTAAAAACGCTTTCAGCTGTAATTGTGGGAAGCAGTTGTGAAATGCTGATAGAATTGCGAAGGAGTGCCCCTACTGTGCTGAGGAAAGGGAGAGACAGCCAAGTGTGTTGTGTATTTTATTCATTCACATTTGGATCGTTTGAGACCTCATTAGGATTCCAGCTGACTGTCATTCCTAAAGCTGTCCCAAGTCCTGTGGGGCCTTGGCTGCCCTTCTCCGCTCGTCTAGCTGCCCCTCTGTCATTCAGGGGATTCCGTGGGAGGGTGGGTTCCGTACTGCCCCCCCAGGCTTAGCCCGCAGAGCTTGATGGATGGCAGCTGCTGCCATTATTTTGATTTTTGTTGGTATAATAAAATCACGTGACCCCTAGGGGCCTCCAGCCCTCGCATTCTATGAATTCTGGGTTTCCGTGCAAGGCCATGTTAGCAGGCCTGTGAAATTGAATTTACTTTATGCCTCATGCTCCTTCTCCTACGCCCCTGTCACTTTTCTTTAATTTCAGCTTTTTTTTTTTTTTTTTTTTTTCAATCACCAGCTCTTTACCAGAAGGGCCGATTGTCTTTCACAGTAGCCTGTGGTGTGTGATTCCAAGGCATGGCTGGCCTCGCACGCGGCATGCAGAAGCCCCTGTCCTCACCCGTGGAATAGCAGCCTCAGCCTTTCTCTAATCCCAGCGTGAGCAGTGGCTGTGGTCTGCCCAAGCTTCGCCTGCAGTGGCAGCATTACCTGGGCCAGCCCAGAGATGGCCTTAGGTGGCTTTAGTGGGGTTCGGGGCTCTAATTAGGTTTTCCTTGGTCCATGGCCAAGCGGTCACAGATGTTTACCAGGTTATCAGCTTTTTAGACCTTCTAAATCCTAAATCTACCTAGTATATCTGTTTACACTGTAGGTGTTCCAGTGTACTACAGAATACTGGACTATTTTATGCCTCTAATGAACAAAGAAAGGTTGATTCGTATGCGTATGATTCTTGTCGTTCTTGCCAGCTCCAAAAATCTATCACTTTGTTACTATCCCTTGATACTAATGGTTTAGACTGTTAACTTGGGGAAAATAATTTTAAAGCTTTATCGAGGTATAATGCATATACCATACAGTTCGCCCATTTAAAATAATACAACTGAATGATTTTTAGACCATCACACACATGTGCAACCATCACCGTAATCAGTTTCAGGCCGTTTGCATCACCCCCAAAGAAAACCCCATAACCATTAGCTGTCACTCTGTAATCTAGGAGATGTTTAATACAGTCTTGGTATATAATCATATGTAATTTCATATCTCCAAACAAAAGTGAGTTTTATTATTTTCCTAGTTTTATACCAACTATTTCATTTTCTTGCTGACTTGGTAAAATGCTGAGGCAGAAAAACCTTTTAGTAGTTTGACAGCAACAAAGGCTTTAACATTAATGAAATAAAGGGGTTTTTTTAAGGTTTTTATTATCTTAGGCTTATTTGGTTAATAATGTGTTATTCTGAGTTTTATCATTTTGTTTTCTAATCTTTTGAGTTTCAAATAGGGATTCTCTAAGTTACACTGCATTTTAATTGGGTCTGTATAAGTGAAGGACAGCTGCCAGACTCTAAACCAGAACCTCTGGGCAAGTTCTCGTTCTCTGTGAGACTCCGTTTCCTCATCTAAAGGAGCAGAGATTACGTATCCAACCCCCATAACAGGGTGGTTGCAAGATCATACACCTGACTGTTCTTTGTAAGTTATAAAGCATGACCCAAGATGTCAGAGCATGTATTTTTCTGTCATTGGTTCTGTGTGGTATCTTATGAAGCATATCCCTTAAGAAAAGTATTTTGTAAACTTTTTGTTTTGTTTTGTTTGCGGTACACGGGCCTCTCCCTGTTGCAGCCTCTCCCGTTGCGGAGCACAGGCTCCGGACGCGCAGGCTTAGAGGCCATGGCTCACGGGCCCAGCCGCTCCGCGGCATGTGGGATCTTCCCGGACCGGGACACGAGCCCATGTCCCCTGCATCGGCAGGCGGACTCTCAACCACTGTGCCACCAGGGAAGCCCTAAACTTTTAAGATCTAATTTGTGGAACTTGATCAAGAATCCCAGTAAAGTTCTCTCATCGGGATGCCACTCTGTGATGTTGCCAGCTAACTCTGGGGCAGGACGTGCCTGGACAGTCAAACCAGATTCAGATTTTCGGCTTCGGCTCAAGAGAGGGTGGAAGGGAGCAACAGCAGATGCAAGTGCTGATGGAATGGGTGTTTCTAATAGGCTAGCTGCCCTCAGCCCGAGCTCAGGGTCCACAGGGAGCTGTCCGACCGTGTCCTCACTCCCTCTCTGTGGAGTACATCCTCCTTATCTTCACTGACATCCTCTACTCTGGTCTCCATGGTAACATCACTGCTGGAACCCTCTTCCTCTTCACCTGCTCAGGGTCTTGGGGAAATGGTTGACCTTTTACTGAAACATTCTTACTCTCCTTTCATCAAGTTCAAGGAGGAAGAGTAGAATCTTTTTGGAGAGATGGTCAGCCAGGCCTCCTGTACGGAGGTGTGGTCCTCCACTCCCCACTGCAGCAGCACCCCCCCCCCCAACACACAGGCAACCTGCTTGCTGTGGAACACACACCTCCAGAAGGGGAGGACCAGTCCCGCTCACAGAGATCACTCCTAACATCTGCCTCTTACATTTTTCTTGCAGGAAGACCCACGCCTGAAATTTCCAGTGCATATGCGGTCAAAGGCATCTTTAAACCCCAATGACCTTGGCCCTCTTCCTGTGAGTACACTGGAGACACACGGACCAGTCTGAAAATGTTTACTCATTCATGGGCCCAGTGTTCATAGGGAAGCCCTGCGACCTTCTCTTTCTCCAGGCGTTTTGAGTCCCCTTGGTCTGTCATTTCTTAATAGAATCGGGTGTATGACTGAACTGATAGCTCATACAGTTCACACCACACCTAGCTCTTCTGAAAGAGGTTTCTGAATGGCTGACTGCTAGTGAAAGGTAGACCTTGCAACTAGGATGATGGACGAGGCATTCTCTACAGGTGACAGTTTAAGCAGCACACATTTATTTTGTAACTTAGCAACTAACTAATTTCCATCCATATTGCTTGCTCATTTAGTCATAGGAACAAAAAAGTTTTCAAAAAGTGGAAGAAAAGGGCGTACGTAATCACAGAAGGTTTCTATAAGTCATTTATCCAGCAGGTGTTTTAAATTTTTCTCCCTTGTCAGTGACTGTTTATAAATCTAATTTTTTATTAGTTCGTTCTCTTTGGGGGCCTGAGTGAGAGTCAAGCTATTTACTCCAAGTTAGATTTTGAATGGAACCTTCACACGTGCTTTCGTGTTGACCCACCCCCAGTTTTTTAAAAACCCTTACAGGCTAGAAAGGTGGGATGGAAATGGAAGGGTGCTGGGAATTTTTTGGGTGTTTGTTTTCCAAGAACCTTTCTGTTGCCTGATGTATGGTATATTACAGCAAAATTTGAAGCTAGAAAGATTAGGGTGCAGTCTTCATTCATCAGGTTGTACAAATATCCCACCCCCTCCAAATATTTGGTTCCGGGGTTTAGATGGAAGGAGACTGGGGAGAGACTGGAGAGAGAGTTTAGTAAGTGAAAGACTGCAGGTTGTCTAGATCTGTTGGATTCTTGACTTTCAGGTAACAAGTAGGCACAGTTCAGATGAGGAAAGCATACCAGCCTGATCTTGGAAAAATTATCCAAGTCTGGTTCCTGAGTAGTGAGAGTTCACAGCAGAGAATTTCAGTATCCCATTGTTCAACCACCTGATGACATGAGTAAAGCGTCAGTCTCTCACATTTTATATCACCCTTCATCCTCCCTTTAGTACTCAGTAAATACTCATTTAATTAAATGAGCTATTCAGCCCCAGGCTCAACTGTTTCACAGTGTGCTGGAGTTTCCCTTTGAAGCTTTTGAAATAATGACCCCTGTTTTTCTTGTTCATCATATACAGTGAGTGCATCTGAGACTATAGAACATGTGCTAAAGTGTGTTGCTGGGTGTTGTCATTTGAGTGAGTTCATTTGAAATGTTTCTATTTAGTTCATTCTTTATGTAACAACGTACCCCAGGGGAAAAGAGTAAGAAGGTGTCCCAGAGTCTCTACCTTTTGCCTTTGATTTTGGAACTGCTGTGGCTAACGTTCGTCTTCTCTTCCTCTCTTCCCCCGATACCAGCCTGGTTGGGAAGAAAGAATTCACTTGGATGGCCGAACGTTTTACATTGATCATAGTAAGTAGGTGCCGTTATGGATGCATAGGTGTTGCAGGTGAAGGGAGGATGAGGGTAATTCAGATATGACAGTGAAAGCTGTGTCATTTTACTGTTTGTCTAGGCAGCCAGGTGTTATGTGGCGAGGATGATACCAGAGACTCAGTGCCCTCGTACGGTACTGTGCATTCACCCCAGTTTGCTTTAAAATAGCCCATTCCAGTTTGACCTTGTGACCTATTAACTGTTTTTTTTAATTAAAAAAATTTTTTTTGATTGATGACCCTTTGACTTTTGCGCTTGTAATAAATACACTCTGGTAATAGAAAATAAGATTAGAAGTGATGATTATGTCAGAAATCTGTGTATGAGCAGTGCTTGAAGCAGCCGCTACGTTTTTTAAAAGCTGCCTTCAGAGGTCTCAAGGCAAGATGCCCATTCTGACTTATTTTCTATTCACAGCATGTTTCCCTGCACCCAACACACTAATACATGTGCAGTTCTTTTCTTGAAATTATATTTGCTGCAGACATTTGCTCCAGCTCCTATGAATAAATGTGTGGTTTCTCATGCCAACTAAAAGTTAAACTAATAAAGGTTTGCTTTTAGCCAGTGTTGTTGTTTTTTCTCTTCCCCCCTTGTTGAAGTGACATTTTCTCCATGGGATCATATTAGTATATCCCTTAAAACTTCTGAAAATGTATATTGAAAAGAAGTCTTCAGGTAGATTTAAAGTTCACATACGCGTGTGATCTGGTGGAATATATTTATCTTTGTTTTCTTTGTTCATAAACATGAGCGTTAAGTCTACACCAGATTTCCCAGCCTCACGTTTTCTTAACTGATTGCATTGGTTAGTTAAGCACGTTGCTGAGCTGACCGGGAAGCGTGGCCTCGAGGGGTCCTCGTGTGGGTGGGGCCTGTCACTCTCTCTCATTTCAGGGCCTCTTCCTGGGTTCCTAAGCGACCAGTGCATGGTAGAGACACCTTCGTTTTCAGGCACGGGAGATTGAGGGGTTTTTAGAAATCGAAGTAAGCAAGAAGCCCAACAATTCAGAATTAAACCAAAAGTAGAAGTCCTAGGTGTATTTAGGGGTGTGGGTTACCCTTGCTTAAAATTAGATAGTTCAAAGTACATAGGCCTAGTTTTTGTCTTCGACCAGTGAAAAAGCTGATTCTTGCCTACGTTCCAGAATTTTACAGTGAGCATAAAACTGCTGCCATAAATGCTTTAACATATGCGGGTACCCCCACTTCCTTCCTTCCTGTGCTAGTTATAATTCTCTTTCTCAGCAGAATTTGCCAAAATAGAAGAGGAGTCACACTGCCTTTTTCCCACTAAAAACAAAAGTTTCCTTTTCAGTTTTTTCATGCATTACAATTTCAGTTTTCAAAGAGAGGTACGAGTAATAATGAGCATTTTATTAAAGCAAGGTCTTAACCGGCAACACAGCCTTGGTCCGCCACACGGAGGGTGCTTCACACAGCATTGTGGCCATGTTCCGGCTGGTGGTCTGATGTCAGGTCAACCTGAAAAAGAACTTTATGAAATGTTCTTGGTGTACTATAAGGACCCAGAAACAAGAAAAACACGATTGCAAAGGGCCATCCTAGTATACATTAGAAATTAGAAAAATCATGGACTGTTTTTCTGCAGGCGTGCATAGACCTAGTGTAATATGCAGTAAACGCTTGTTAAATGGTGACTCGGAGTCCATTCACGGAGGGCCAGTGGTGCCGGTGTTGTGTTAGGAAGTTGATGCCCTTGGTTGGAAAGTGGAGAGAACCTGCCTTGAGAGGCAACAGCAGCCTCAGGCCTGCCCAGCTCCTGTTTTCCAGGCGATGGGAAAGGGTGGTTCCTTGCTAAATGCCTGGATGTTCCTAATCAGTCCCTCCAAGCTCCTCTCAGACATCCCCCATTCCTCTTTTCCAGACCACACAGCACTTGGGAGGCTCCCCCTCTTCACTCCTGGGAATCAAACGATAGGATATAGACCACGTACAGAGCCTTGTTGATCTGAGCTATGCCAGTGTCAGATTTGTGATCCTTTACGTGGAGATTAAAATTTGCCTGTGCTCAACTATACTGAAAAGTTCTCTTAACCAAATACAGTGTAAATTAGATGACCAAAGACTGTGTAAGAAAAAGGTCTGTTTAGGAGAGCCTCATTAGCTGACAATGTAACATTTCTGCCAGGTCTCCCTAATTCATCAAGGTTTATTCAGTGGAAAGCAATAGAGCGGTGTACATATCAATGAAACAGAGTTCAATTCATATGCCTTTTTTAAAAAAACAAATTCCAGTCCGTGAAAAATGAAGCATATCTATCTTTTTTAAGATGCTATATCAGGTACTCAAACCCACTCCAAAATGGGTTTCATTACCTGGAATTTCCTTACCTTCCGAACGAGTCTCTGCTTCTAAACATTTTTCCCGAATCTTATTTCTAGCAAAGTTCAGCATCTCATTTTGCTCTCCTGCTGCCTGCAGGACAGAAGCCAGGCCATCCCTACTACACCATTTGACCATGAGAGCAGCCATCTTATAAGGTGCTCAGTCATCTGTCTTCCACTTCGCTGGGGCATGTGACTGCACACTGAACATAAAAGGCAGCAGTGCGCTTGTCTCCTAATTCATTAGGTTTTTTTTTTATTTTCTGCTTCATAAATTCTTGAGAAGCGAGACATTTTCAAGGTTAAAAATGTTAAAGATTTAATTTCAGAAGAGCATGAATGCTCAGTACTAATCTCTTTAGACTTCTAGATTCATTTGATTGACATTTATCAAAAAGCTCCTGTGTCTCAAGCCTGGTGTCAAAGGGTATGGGAAGGTCTTGAACTGAATCCCTACCTCCCTTAGGAATAGCGTAGTTCTTCTTAAAGACCCGATATGCCCAGCCACTGAGTACTTGGCCACAGGCAGTTTATATACAAAGCTAGAAAATAAAATTCCAGGGATGCTGTAAGATCCTGTTCGAATCTTTCCTGCCATCAGTCTTACCAAACCTGTTAATAGTAGCTAAATGGACTGACTGAGTTTTTTATTCTTCTACTTCTTTCTCGCCCCTTTATTTGAAATATTGTGTCTCAAAGACAAAAAGCAAGTTTAGATTCAATAGTTATAGGACAAAATGGGTAACTGGCCACCAACAGTCATATGTCGATAATTCTTAAGTGCAAAATTGATCATTATCGTAATCATACAAGACCCATATGTGGTTCTGAAAGCCTAGACTTTTAAAAAGAATCTGTTTTCGCCATCAGCTTCATTTGGTCACTTAAAAAGTCAGGCTCCTGCTACATGCTGGGAAATGTGTTAAGTGGTGGAGGGGGGCTGTGGAGATGAACAGCACACAGTTCTGGTCCTCAAGGGGCTTGGGTTCTAGTAGGGAGTGCCAGGAGGTATTTAAGTGTTGTCTTACGGGAGTGAACCAGTTGTTACGTAGAAATACTTGCTGAGTGTCTGGGCTTCAGCAGTGGAAGAAGGCTGCAGAAGAGCCCCGTAGAACGGGTGACTTTTCAGGTGGATCCCAAATAATGAGTGAGGTTTAGCCAGGCACGCCCAGCAAAGAGCAATTCTAGGAGGGAGAAAGCGTGCGCAGGTGTGTGAAGCTGTGCAAGTGACACCATGTTCAGAGGAGCGCAGTGGGGTTGCAAACAGCCGGTGTGCAGATGAGGCTGGCGTGACACCGCGTTAAGTCAAAGGGAGTCTGCTGCTACGGGGACTCGGGTCCCTTCCGCAGCCAGGCGGGAGTGCCTAAGGGATGGTGCAGAAGGGAGTCTGACGCGGTCAGGTTTGTGCTCTAGAGCAGCCGTCCCCAGCCTTTTTGGCACCAGGGTCCTGCCTTGTGGAAGACAGTTTTCCCACGGATGGGGGTGGGGGAGGAGGGGTGGTTCAGGGGTGCTGCGAGCGCTGGGGAGCCGCAGGTGAGGCTTCGCTCGCGGGCCCTCGGCCCGGGGGTGAGATCCCCTTGGCAGGGCTTCAAAGGAAGTTTTGAACGGGGGTGAGTGAGACTGAGGCCAGGGAGACCTAGAGAGTAGTCCAGGGAGAAGATGAGCACTCAGGAAAGAAGCCTTTTCAGAGAGGTGGGGACAGGTGGTGACCACCGGAGTGAAAAGTAAGCGAGGATGGAGGGTATGGCAGGTGCCGGACTTGAACAGTGGACGGACGGACTGTGGTGCTGTTAATGAGGAATACAGGGTTGTATGAACCATTTTGGTAGTGCAAGATTATGGGTCAAATTCTGTCAGAGTAGGGTTTGAGGTATTTCCCAGGGGAAATCCAGGTGCAGGTGTCAAGGATGGAGCTTGAGGTTCTGGTTTGGACAGATGTGGGGGTCATCATATGGAGGTAGTAGGTAATTTATTTTCTGGTTTGATGATGGTACCCAGTCTATATATAGTCTAAGGGCAGTTTTTACTCAGCTATATTCTTTTTCTTTTATTTCCTTTTCTCCTGTTTTGCATCACAGCAACAGCTCTTAATTTCCAAAAACTTCTGTCTTCAAAGTAAGGGACCCAAAAATACCTTTTGCTTCTTCCATCACCGTCCTCTGAAACAGTTGAAACAGTTCTTGTAACCTTTCTGCCAGCGTGAATCTAGAATCGTCATGTGCTTTGGTAGCTTAATTTTAAAACTTTACCACTGCTTTTGTTAAAATAATTATCATACCAGACTTTGAAAAATTCCTGGAATAGTCATTAATACCAAATTTATTAGTTATTCTTACCAGTCCACTTACGAAGTATATCAGAAAAAAAGACTATTCTTCTCAAACAGATAATTTCCTTTTTTACAAACCAACTTAGATTTCCTAACACTCCAGACAGAAGCCTATTCTTCCCTGTCTACCCTCCCCATATCTTTCATGTGAGTTCATTCCTGTGCCCCCCCCATATATACACACAGTAGCATAAAGTCTTTTTAATTAAGGCACAGTCACAAATCCCAAGTGATCCAGGTAGCTAATGTGTGTTTCCACCTACACCATTGAAGCAGTGGTATAGGTGCCATTTACTAATCTTATTGACATTGATTCATTTGGAAGAAAGAACCACTTCTCACCAGCCTGACCAAAAGGGAACCTTTTCTCTGGAATCCTCCTCTGCTGTATCTAATTCTCATTTTTTGGACTGCCTTAGCTGTTTTGATTTTTGTGTGCATATGAGTGACACATGTAATGGATTATTCATTTGTTCAACTTAAGCTTTTTAATTGAAAGCCGTTTGCAACACCATAAGCAAAGGAAAGAGTATTTGAAATGAGAAAAAAATCGTGTGTATGTTAACTTTTGGGGAACTAAAATCTTTCATGCTTTTTTTTAATTAAATGAAAATCAACCTCAAGTTATAAATCCTTGAAGGTACAGGGGTTTATAATTGAAATTTCAGCAGATTGCTTGCCCAGAACAGTGTGAATAGATGGTTTTACTTTAGTTGTGCATTTTTGATTGTTTTTAACTAAACAGTATGGGGGGGCTGCGGTGCAGATTGCCTTACAGAGTATAGTTCTCTTCTAACCCTGAAATACTAAGTTATTTATCCTTGGGAGTCAGGATGGGGAACTGGGGGAACTTTTGGAAAATCCAGAAATAATTCTTTCTAAAACATTTTGGACATGAAATAGATTTGAACTAATAAGCCGTTTTTTGGTTTTTGTTTTTTAAATATTTCCAGATAGCAAAATTACTCAGTGGGAAGACCCAAGACTGCAGAATCCAGCTATTACTGGTCCGGTTAGTATTCTCAAGTTCTGACTCTTCAGTATAATATTTTGGTTTCATCTAAACACACGTTTCTTGTATATTCCTGCTTACCTTGATGCCAAGGGCCTGACTGGTGTCCTTGAGAAATTTAGCATTACTCCCGTCTCCTCCTTCCCGGAATTTCTGGGTGAGGTACAGCTACATTTGCCTTTTCACAGGGCTTTCAATATAAAGGAAAAGAAAATGGTTTGCCAGTGGTAACCAAACTAAACATTCTCTTTTGTCTTTTATAAAAGGGTATAACAATCAAAATGTCCTCTCTTCCTTTTTTTTTTTTTTTTTTTTTGCGGTGCGCGGGTCTCTCACCGCTGCGGCCTCTCCCGTTGCGGAGCACAGGCTCCGGACGCGCAGGCTCAGCGGCCGTGGCTCACGGGCCCAGCCGCTCCGCGGCATGTGGGATCTTCCCAGACCGGGGCACGAACCCGTGTCCCCTGCATCAGCAGGCGGACTCCCAACCACTGCGCCACCAGGGAAGCCCCCCTCTCTTCGTTTTTATATGAAGCAAAACTTTGTCCTGTATTTGTAGAGTTTTAACATTTCTTGAGGCCAAGGGTAGTATATGCCTGCTGACAAATTTAAATTGGATCCTGAATCTCTTCCGGCTCTAGAACTCTGCAAAGGTATGGGTGAGGGGGTAGCTGCACTCCAGAGCTGGCAGTTAAGAATCTTATCTCTGCTGGCCCACTGACTTTCTCATAGTCCCCTTATGTGTGTTCATAAGGAAGAGTGACACCCTGGCACTGGTCAGCAGGCACCTGGTATCAAACACCTGAAAGGAGTCTGTGGAATACTCCAGAGTCTTTTGTCAGTGGTTACATGAGTTCAAGGAGAGACTCTGGAATTGCAGGAACTGTACTGGAATGAGCAGAAGATTGCAAATTGGGGAATCTTTTAATAAATGGAGGAAGGAGCTAAAGGAAGGGGAAGTTGGTTATATCAAGTGCTGAGCTAAGGCACCAATAGGTATATTTAAAATACGAATTTTGTGGCTTTAATCTGATTTGGTTCAAATTACATTTTGAATTATAGGTCCATTTGAAAACTTGAAAGATAATACAGTGCAAACGCACCTTGATACCTGACATCCCTTTAGTTACTTGTTGGATTTGGATTTGTCCAGCTGCTTTGCTTAGCGGTTGATGCAAAGTGCCCAATGCCACGTGGGTCAGAACAGGCGTCAGCTCCTCTGCATGTAGTTAACAAACACCTGCCTCACTACCACGGCTGCTTTTGTTACATTCACAGTCACAATAAGTTAGAGTAGTATTTTCTCATCTCCATCATGAGAAACAAGGTAAATTCAAGAAACGATGCTGTTTTCAAGCAACAGAAGACTTTTGACAATGATGAAGCCTTTTCAAATATTTCTGTTGCTTATTGATCATCTGTCTTCATGCAACACTGTTAGTTTTTGTAATTACTATTGAAAATTATTTAGCCTCATAAATCCAGGTAGATTTGCCCTGAAGAAAGCTCTTTCTTTGTTTTCTACTAACAAAAGAGCCTTTTTTACTCTTTTTTTTTTATTATTGGTAGTATTTCTTTCAATAAGAGCATGTGTATTTAGGTAATTATTACCTTAGAGTAGATATTTGGTCTTTGTTTTAATTCAGTTCTAAATTTTTGGTAATTTCCGTAATGATTTCTTTCTGTCCTTAACTTACAAATTATTTAGAATATGCTTTTTAGTTTCTGAGAGTATGAGACGGTTTTTACCTGTTTCTTACTGATTTCTGATTTTATTGCATTGTGGTCATATAATATTGTCTATGGAATATTATCAGACATTTGAAACTTCTTTGGAGGCTTGGCCATTTTTGGTTAATGTTCTTTTTGTGTTTGAAAAGAATGTGTATTCTGTCTTTGCTGGGTATAGAGTTCTTTATATATGTCTGTTACATCAGGCCTATGGTGTTCAAATTTTCCATTTCCATGACAACATTTTTCCTGGCTTTTCTTTATCTAACCGAGTCAGCTGTGTCAGAATCTCCCATGGTGACTGTGGCTTTGTCAGTCATTATGTTCACTTTCTCTTCACTAGTATTTGCCTAGTATATCTTTTCTGTCCTTTAACTATCTCTGTTTTTTCTTTTTTCTTGCTTTCTGTTGGACTGATAGAGTACTCTTTATTTTCTTTCATTTGCTATACTTGCTTGGACATTGTATTTTCTATTTCTGTTCTTTTGGTGCTCACATTAAAATTTTTAACCAATATACTTGACCTTTGTCAAAATTAATCACTCTACTCTTTTCCTGGATAATATACGACTTTGGGGAACTTCAGTGCTGTTCTTCCCACTCCTACTTTCCATTGTTCAGTGGAATTTTAAAACTACCTTGTCTTTAAACTTGCCAAATAATCATTAATATTTTCTCTTTTTTTCAACAGTCAATGCTTGTTTAATTTACTTATATGTAAACAAATTCCTTTGCCCACCATTGTTCTTTTTTTTCTAACATCTTTATTGGAGTGTAATTGCTTTGCAATGGTGTGTTAGTTTCTGCTGTATAACAGAGTGAATCAGCTGTACATATACATATACATATATCCCCATATCTCCTCCCTCTTCTGTCTCCCTCCCACCCTCCCTATCACACCCCTCTAGGTGGTCACAAAGCACTGAGCTGATCTCCCTGTACTGTGTGGCTGCTTCCCACTAGCTATCTGTTTTACATTTGGTAGTGTATATATGTCCATGCCACTCTCTCACTTCATCCCAAATAACCCTTCTCCCTCCCCGTGTCCTCAAGTCCATTCTCTACGTCTGCATCTTTATTCCTGTCCTGCCCCTAGGTTCTACAGAACCCATTTTTTTCTTAGATTCCATATATATGTGTTAGCATACAGTATTTGTTTTTCTGACCAGTCTCTAGGTCCATCACCTCACTACAAATAACGCAATTTCGTTTCTTTTCATGGCTGAGTGATATTCCATTGTATATATGTGCCACATCTTCTTTATCCATTCATCTGTCGATGGACACTTCGGCTGCTTCCACGTCCCCACCACTGGTTCTTGCATCTACTTTTTTCCAGGTTAAGTTTTCTCCTTAATAAAGTTTAATCTCTAGTTCATGGTTCTCAAAGTGTGGCCTATAGATCAACAGCATCATTCAGAAACTTACTAGAAATGTAAATTTGGGGCTCCCAACGCAGTTAACATACCCTCCCAGGCATTCTGATGCTGACTCAAGTTTGAGAACCTCTTCTCTGGCGGCAATTTCAGTGAGGGTCTGAGAGAGAGGGGGCTTACCTACCTCTCTGTTAAATGATAGTTTAGCTGATTATAGAATCCTTAGTCAACAATTTCTTTCCTTCAGTACTTCGGAGATTTTTTTTTTTTGTCTCTTCCGGCCTCCATAACTGATGATGAGAAGTTCGTTGTCACTCTAATTGTCATTTTTTTGGTGAGTAAATCTCTCTTCTCCGGTGATTTTGAATTTTTCTCCATGTCTTTGATTTTCTACAGTTTTACTATCATGAATCTAAGTGTGGATTTCTTTTTATTTATTCTGCTCTGGATTCATTGTGACTCTTCCATATGGGGATGGTGTCTCCTTTATTCAGGAAAATTCCCTGCAGTTATTTGTTCACATACTGTACCTTTCCCATTTTTATTATCTGCATCAGTAATTCCTATTGGGTATTTGATTCAATTTTACATTCTGTCTCCCTTATCTTTTAGCTTTCTGATCTTTCTCATTGCTGTATTGTGGGCTCAGCTCTTCCAGTTAATTATCTTTTAAGCTTTTTATAATCTATCAGTTCATTGTGTCTGTTATTTCAGTGACTGGATTTAATTGCTCAAAGTTCTATTTGGTCTTTTTCAATTTGCTTGGTCTTTTTAGTTATTGTTGTTTGGTCCTGTTCTTCCCTTTTATTTATTTTTCTATTCGTACTTAACAGCTTTTTAATCATTCTTAAAATATTTGTTCCAGTGCCTCTTCTAGATTATTTTATTATCTCTTTTTCTAGGGGCATTAAATCTCCCACTTGTTATGTCTGTAGACTCTCCTCGGTGGTAGTTGATTGCCTAGTTCAGTTTATAATTTTGTGTGTTTAAGTGTGTGTGTGCCCATCTTCATTTTTTTTCTTTATGGGGCTTTTATACATCCTGACTTGTATTCACTGTTAACTTCTTAGCTTGGGTTTATGCCCCCTTAGTTACTATAACTATGGACCTCCTACCTACTTTGGTGTAGGCTTGGGAGTCTGAATTTATTAGAGGTCTGGGGTTTTTTGTTTGTTTTTCTTCCAGTTACAGTCCTGGATAGAAGGGAAGCTTCCTTGCAACTCTCCCAGGCCTGTGGGTAGAATTTTCTTGAACCCTGTTCAGATGTAGGTCTTAAGCAGGGAACTCTGTCTGACTCCCCTGGTCATACAGACTGTAGGCCGTGCTCTGTGTCCCCATGTGAGGATTAAAAACCCAAGCCCAAGCCCCAAGTCTAGGTCCAAAGCACACTTCTTTAATTTTGTCTTTCTGCATATCTGGTACTTAGAGTTTCTCCTTTCCCAAGTTTTAAAAATACCTACATATTAGGGGAGAGGGGACCCTTCTGTGGCATTACTGTGAGTCAGTATGTTCTCTGTATGACAAGCATCACCATTAAAAGCATTAGAAGCATGAAGTGCTATTTGTAGTTGCTACTCTTAAGAACACTATCTCATGCTTGTGTAACGCTTCGTACTTATTCAAGAACTTTACAATCAACTGCTTTGAAACTCACAGCAATCCTCTCAGTATGGTAGGGAAGAAGTTGGGATTCCCAATTTGTCAGCGGCTCAGAAAGCTAATTGCCAAAAGTTTGAGCACATGTCAGAATCCAGGCCAGAGCCCCAGATGTGCTGGCTTTACCAACGTCTCCGTGTCAGGCCTAAGCCCTTCTCTGCAAGGAGCTCCAGTGTCCGTAATGGACAATAATGACATGAAAACCTTTAGACCCCACTTACATAATGTCAGGTTTTCACTTTGTTCAAAAAAGGAAGCATATTTAATAGAGAGCAACTTTAATCAACAGATATGTTAATTCTTTAAATAGGCTTATTTTACACATTATATTGCATGTAAGAAAAGAAGATGCCAGATTATCGAGAGAAAATAAATAATTTGACCTGTCCAATGCAGAAATGTAATTCTCTTCAGAGGCTGTAACGTATGGATGTCTTTATCCTGGTATGTTGTTGGAATCTTTTCAGGAGAAGAATATAAAACCTACTCTTCTTAGGCCATCATAAGAATGACCCCTAGAGAGAAAAGATGAGTATTGGAGGAGGAGGGGTATTTCTCAACTTACATGCATCATTCCCCAGAAGAAGAAAGACCAGAAATATCTCAGTACTGATTTCCACCGACATCTAGTCAGCACCTACCAGGTTACAAGCCGGACAAGGGCAGAGATACCATGGGCGGGGGGCAACACTTTGAAATATATTCCTTGGGAAACTTGTCATTTAAGACAGTTGAACTTGCATTCACAGTGATGAATGTTTAACCCTTTTTTCAACGTTTTCATGCAGGGAAACAAAAACAAAAGGTAATTGCCGGGAATCACAGATTTTTGGAAAGGGAAGAGCCTTAAAATTTGACTAGTCAAGTCTTTCTGCTTAACTGTGAAGGAATTCCGGAGTGGAGAGGTTATATCACAGAGCTAGCTGGCAGTAGAGTCTGCCTTGGAAGTCATGTCTTCTGAAGCTGGCATGAGATAATAAAAGGAAATCTTTTTTTTTTTTTCAGCTTAATTTTCTTCTATTACAGTTAATCATAGCTAAGAACATCAAATACTTTTCCTCTTTTGAGAACTCACTGTTCCTGTCATGGTTTGTTCCCTCCTGTCATTCTGGTTTCTGTTCAGATTTCCCTTTCTCAGAGCTGCCTTCCCCAGCCATCTCATGTAGAACAACCACTGAGGAACTCTATCATTTTCCCACCTAGCATTTACCACTATGTATTCATTTATTTCTTATTGCCCATTGCTCACAATAGCTTCTAAAAAAGCTAGAGCAAAAAGCATGATAATGCCTTTATTGGCTTATGTCAGACCATTGTATCCTTTTCCTTAGGTTGGTGGTTGTCCAGATAGTGATAAAATGTCTACCTTTTCTGGAATCAGAATTCTTACAGTGTTTCATCAGACTAAACACTGCCCAAAATAAATACGATATGTAGTCAAATCTAATGTTCAGTGAAGAGGCACATGAAGACTGGCTTAAAAATTAAAAACTAAGAACAGACCATAGGTAGTATAAATTGTCTTTAGAATGTTCTTAAGATACATAAATATGTTGTCTTTTGCTCTTGAATTACAAAGCAAAATACTGACATGATCATTGTTTTCTATGAGAGTAGTAACATGTTTTTGTTTTGGCTTAGTTATTATTTGTATGACCATGTCTTAAAACAGTATGAAGGGAGGAAGCTTTTGTTCTTCACTTCTCCTCTTTCCTGTCAGGAGTAAGCATGGTGAAGGTGTAAGGTTTAGAGTCTGGAGACACTTTGCAAAGGATCAGTATATTTTATTAATGTAGCACAAAATGATATCAGCAGAAGTATTCTTGCCCAAATTCACACTATGCGCTAAAAAGCAATGAGTTGTTCTGACTGTGAGGCTGTCACAGTTATATCCACGTGTGTGCAAAAGCAATCCTTTCTGCTTCATAAAAAAAATTGTAAGCCTTTTCCATTACCTGAAGTCACAGCTCTGACTCTCGGATACTGTAAGCTACTTGACATGATAGCAAGTACCGAATATTTAAATGCCTATATAAAAATTAATTACTTTGCCTGAAGAGATTCCAGAACTTATGAATAATGTCAGCTCAGTTACTGAGCTCACTCCTGTGGTATCATCACTCTGCTCCATAGATACGACATTCCAGATTTAAAGAAATCCTTGCCCACGACCTCTAAATAGTCAACTCCTAAAATGACTTTTCCAGCATGCTGTCTACCCAGTTTTTTTCCTTGACAAGTGTATCAGTTCGCTTGCCTTTCTGCTTGTTACTTTTCTCCCAAAGATTTTTTTTAACATATTTATTGGAGTATAATTTCTTTATAATGTTGTGTTAGTTTCTGCTGTGTAACAAAGTGAATCAGCTATATGTATACACATATCCCCATATCCCCTCCCTCTTGTGCCTCCCTCCCACCCTCCCTATCCCACCCCTCTAGGTGGTCACAAAGCACCGAGCTGAGCTGATCTCCCTGTGCTATGTGGCTGCTTTACTAGATAGCTAGTAAAACACTAGCTATCTGTTTTACATTTGGTAGTGTATATATGTCCATGCCACTCTCTCACTTTGTCCCAGTTTACCCTTCCCCCTCCCCGTGTCCTCAAGTCCATTCTCTATGTCTGCGTCCTTATTCCTGTCCTGCCTGTATGTTCATCAGAACCAATTTTGATTTTTTTTTTAGATTCCGTATATATGTGTTAGCATATGGTATTTTTTCTTTTTCTGACTTACTTCACTCTGTATGACAGACTCTAGGTCCATCCACCTCACTACAAATAACTCAATTTCATTTCTTTTTATGGCTGAGTAATATTCCATTGTATATATGTGCCACATCTTCTTTATCCATTCATCTGTCGATGGACACTTAGGTTGCTTCCGTGTCCTGGCTATTGTAAATAGTACTGCAGTGAACATTGGGGTGCATGTGTCTTTTTGAATTACGGTTTTCTCGGGGTATATGCCCAGTAGTGGGATTGCTGGGTCGTATGGTAGTTCTATTTGTAGTTTTTTAAGGAACCTCCATACTGTTCTCCATAGTGGCTGTATCAATTTACATTCCCACCAACAGTGCAAGAGGGTTCCCTTTTCTCCACACCCTCTCCAGCATTTACTGTTTGTAGATATTTTGGTGATGGCCATTCTGACTGGTGTGAGGTGATACCTCATTGCAGTTTTGATTTGCATTTCTCTAGTGACTAGTGATGTTGAGCATCCTTTCATGTGTTTGTTGGCAATCTGTATATCTTCTGTGGAGAAATGTCTAGTTAGGTCTTCTGCCTATTTTTGGATTGGGTTGTTTTTTTGATATTGAGCTGCATAAGCTGCTTGTAAATTTTGGAGATTAATCCTTTGTCAGTTGCTTCATTTGCAAATGTTTTCTCGCATTCTGAGGGTTGTCTTTTCATTTTATTTATGGTTTCCTTTGCTGTGCAAAAGCTTCTAAGTTTCATTAGGTCCCATTTGTTTATTTTTGTTTTTATTTCCATTTCTCTAGGAGGTAGGTCAAAAAGGATCTTGCTGTGATTTATGTCATACAGTATTCTGCCTATGTTTTCCTCTAAGAGTTTTAGAGTGTCTGGCCTTACATTTAGGTCTTTAATCCATTTTGAGTTTATTTTTGTGTATGGTGTTAGGGAGTGTTCCAATTTCATTCTTTTACATGTAGCTGTCCAGTTTTCCCAGCGCCACTTATTGAAAAGGCTGTCTTTTCTCCATTGTATATTCTTGCCTCCTTTATCAAAAATAAGGTGACCATATGTGCGTGGGTTTATCTCTGGGCTTTCTAGCCTGTTCCATTGATCTATATTTCTGTTTTTGTGCCAGGACCATACTGCCTTGATTACTGTAGCTTTGTAGCATAGTCTGAAGTGTAGGAGCCTGATTCCTCCAGCTCCATTTCTCTTTCTCAAGATTGCTTTGGCTATTCGTTTCCCAAAGATTTTTAAAGCACAATTAGTCTTTTCTGAACGACAGTGTAGGTCATTTGGAGTTGTGTGTTAAAGTATGATGGCCAATAACTTACCTAAACTACAACCTATAAAAAGATTACAGTGTACCCTGATGCATATTCAGACAGAAGTCACATGGAAAGTCTATTCAGTTTATGTATAATACCTCTAAATGATTTCTTGAATATCTGTATTGTTGTTTTCCGGGGTGAAAGCCCTATTCGGTGCTGATTAACCTTAATCATTTCTAGAACGTTCGCATGTGCTACGTAGACATTATGTAAATTTCAGTGGTTATATGGAGAGTGATGATTTTAAGGTTCATGATTCATGAAATTTTCTGAATGTTGGCTTAGTATACATAAAATTTCAAACATGTTCATATTATCTATATTTATACATTTGTCTTCCAGGCTGTTCCTTACTCCAGAGAATTTAAGCAGAAATACGATTACTTTAGGAAGAAATTAAAGAAACCTGTGAGTACATATCTTCCAAAAATGCTGTTTTAGTCATTTGTAAGTTACCCAAATTACTTCACTGAGAACAACTCGTTTCTTACTCTTATGTGTATACTAAAAATATGACCTTCCTTTTCTCACTGCACTTTGATCCACCTGGATCTTCATCTGAATTTTCTTTTTAACAGACATGGTAAGTGAAGATTAACTTAGTATTACATATCAAATCACCTGAAGGTAATTTCTTATGTAATACATTAAAAAATAGAAATGATTTTTATGAGGTATAAAATAATTCAGGAACAAGTGAAAAAATGTGGAGAAGCCTATGCAATCAATTATGGCTATCCTATTTAATAAAACCTAGATCCTAATTCGAAAAATGTTCAAGTCCCTTTACATTCAGAAATACCGTTTTAATGATGATATGTACAACAAAAATATAATTTATAATATTTGACATATTAAGACCAAGTGTAATTTTCGGATTAAAATTCTTACTAGGAAACCCGTTAAGATTCTGACAAAACTGAGAAACCCTGTAAGGCTTTTTACAGGCAGTGTTTTACAATACAGTATTATATTTTCTACTGACATGTCTCCCCGGATACTTTAATACTGTGTCTTCTGTTTTACTTTCTGATTTCACCTCTCTGGTGTAAATATTACCAGTTTTCTCCTAAGTTTGTGCCTTCACTGTTTTGGGGGTGTTTTTGTTCCCATCACCATTTCTTGGCTTCCTCATTGGGGAAAGCTGCAGCTCAGATCACCCCCATTTGCCTGTGTTCCTTCCCCATCTCCCCCACCCCGCTCCACTCCCTCAGCTGATGCCTCATTTTCCTGGCCTCTGCTATGGATGAGGCACTGGGGATGCAGAGACACTTGAAACACAGCCTCTGCCTCGGGGAGCTCCCTCTTAGGGGTTCTGTTCTCTCTTCTAACATCCTGACTCAAGGAGCTCCTGTGTAACTCCTTCTGAAATGACTCAAATTTGAACCTGTGGAATTCCAGTGTTTCTTTGTGAGTCGCCTGCATTTCCTCCAGTGATGTGATGACTGTAGATATCACGCTGTCTCACTTTGTGGCACTTGCACCGTGGTACCTTCTGCCTGGAAACTGACTCTGTAGATCCATCATCCTGGCAAAGCTGACCCTGGACCTGTTTTTCCAGGAAGCAGTTATTCACAACTTCAATCAAGTGCTTTTTTATTTTCACGTTTATTAACTGTTGCCTTTGGGATGCTTTCCCACAACTTGGCCGTGATAATCAGGGTCCCACTCCCCAGAACTAGCTTGTAGGCATCATGGTCACGGCTACCAGCTGGAGTCCCTACCAGGGCTGAGGGTCGTCCCAGCCTCGCCAGGTGGGGATTGTCTATGGGTTTTAATCCCCTGGACTACAGTCCCTTTCTTTGTCTAAAACAGTGTACAGAGTTCACCATATTTCAGTTGCCAGTGGGCGGATAAGTGCCCCACAGTTGCTTATAAAAGGGAGAGAGGATGACTGTCTTCACTCAGCATAGTTTCTTCTGTGGCGCGTGTTGCTGGCTCAGTCTGACACCTGCTGGTGGATGCTGTGTGTCTCCTCCTGACATAGGCTTTCTGTCTGTGTGAAGAACAATCTAGAAAGGAGAGAGTTTCTGTTGGAACCATTCATCATTGCTTGTTTATTTGAAGGCTGCCATCATTTCTGCTCTTTGTTTTTGTTTTGTTTTTTTTCTGTTAGGAAGTAAGGCGTATATTTACTGTCTGATGGTGTGTGGGGTTTTTTTTCTCTTGTTTTTAGGCTGATATTCCAAATAGGTTTGAAATGAAACTTCACAGAAATAACATATTTGAAGAGTCCTATCGGAGAATCATGTCTGTGAAAAGACCAGATGTCCTGAAAGCTAGGCTGTGGATTGAATTTGAATCAGAAAAAGGTCTGGACTATGGGGGCGTGGCCAGAGAATGGTTCTTCTTACTGTCCAAAGAGATGTTCAACCCCTATTACGGTCTGTTCGAGTACTCTGCAACGTAAGTGTCTGGAGTGCATTCAGAAGGTGTCCGCACTGAAGCAGTTTTATTCTTCATGAATTTAAACTTAATGAAAGAATAAGCAGCTCACTCAGAGGTGAATTAAGACTGCTGATTTCAGCCCCTGCCCGCCAGCCCTTATAAGTCTAGAACAGGTCTGACTCCACATGGTGAACCAACGTACTCTGTGAACACCTAAAAATAATTCTTCTCTTGTCTGTTGTGTTCATGTAATTGAGATTGAAAATGTGTTGGGTACTTAACGGTAAGGAACAAGGCAATTTTCATTCATAACGTTATGTTAATTCAGGAGAATTTGTCACTATCAGAATTCAGAAGGTTGTTGTCTTATGAACAAGAATAGTTTCTGAAGTCAAATTACTTAAAGGCAAACTGAGGACCCGTCCTTTAGGATCCAAAGGACCATGCCCTGGGCCTGTGAGGGAAGGCCCATACCCCCCGCCACCCGCCTTGCATTAGCATTTCATCACTGCCAGGCATGCAGACCGAGGCAGAGTCCATTGCTTTCTCGGGAATCAAACATTGGCTACTTGCAAGGCCACCCTTTCCTCCTCCAGGCTGTGGCTTCTCCAAAGGCTTAGGCAGGACCCGAGCCCCCAGTAAAACAGTTGACCTTGAAAAGCGACCTGTGCTCTGCAGGGACAAAGGTTCTCCCGTGTCTTCCCCCTGGTGCCGGTCTCCTGGGAGCTCTTTTGGAAGGCAGCCTCAGTGTTTTTCTCCGATGCTCCAGCCAAGAATTTCCCATTTTGTAAAATTGATAAAAGCCATTGAAGTGGAGGGGAGGATCCAGAGGCGAGATCTGCACCTCTTACCCACATTCCCAAAGCTGCCCCCAGAAGAATCTGGCCCCGGAGCCCATTTTGCAAACCACCGATCCTCCTGATTGTGAGACCAAAGAAGGACGATGAGGTGCACGTGAACATCTCGAGGTTTGCACTGTTGGGACAGCCGTATGTTGCTACCAGTGGCCTCCAGGCCTTTCAGGGCAGAATGCTGGTCAGATGGATCAGGGGTTGGACCGCTGGGAAAAATTTTAATCCCCAAACCAAAAGCTTCTCAAGGAGTTAACCCCCTTTCTCACAGAGACAACCTGTTGCACTCACACATAGCTGGGAATCCATGTCCAGCCCCTTTCGTATGTGGGGCTTCTCAGCTTCCCAAAATACTTGGCTGAACCGTATGAATTGAGATTTTTGTCGATCAACAGTAGTCAGATATCCAGTTTCTCACGGTTTAACATAACAGGGCATATCCACCAGCTCTAGTAGACCTCTGTCCTTGGTCACGGAAAAGGGCTAAATAAATAAGCCCTGTTGTCTAGCTTTTCTGCCTTATCTGTCAGGTACAGGATGTTTGCAGGCATACTGTAAAAGCTTAATGACAGGCAGCAACGGAAAATTCAAATTCTTGCATTTCTTATTTATTGCATTTATTTACCACCTTTCTTTTTCTCTCTCTCCCTCCCTAAAAAGGGACAACTACACACTTCAGATCAATCCCAATTCAGGCCTCTGTAATGAAGATCATTTGTCCTATTTCACTTTTATCGGAAGA